GAGAGGGAGGAGGGTCAGAGGGAGAAGCAGACTCCCTGCCGAGCAGGGAGCCCAGTGCGGGACTCGATCCTGGGACTCCAGGATCATGACCTGAGCCGAAGGCAGTCGCTTAACCAACTGAGCCACCCAGGCGCCCCTGTTGTGGAGTTTTAATTGGGAAAGCTTAGTCGAGGTTTACCAGGCCTTGCTTATTTTTAGGGCCCCAGAGTTTCCTCTGCCCGTTCTATCTATCTCCTCTTTGTTGTTTTCTGGGCATTCTCTTTCAGAAATAAAAACCTCTTCCACTGACCCTTTTTTTCTCCGTTGAATAGGATCCCGGGACAAGAGAACAGATGCATCCTTTGGCAGTCGATTGCACCCTGCCCTAGAGAGAAGTCCAGGATAATACTTTTGGGCCTATATTTCTCCACCCTGGAATTCATCCAGTTCATTCCAGAAATATTGACCCTCTGCTTCTGTGACACCTCCTCAATGAATGTCTGATGGACAGACACTTTCCGTTTACCTTGCAGCAATTTTCTTTCCTGTGGAGGTTGGAAGAAAAGGTGAATGGTGCCAAAAGTTGCCTGCTTTGGTGAATAGGACTGTTCCACTTGGTTCTCAGAACATGGGCCCTCGTTTAAAGGTAAGAGCATAGAGTAGTTCAGTTTCACTTGGTATTGGGATACAGAACATGGACTCAGTGACCAGTTCCTCAGCCTTTCCAGCAAGGGATAGCTGTTGAAGTGCACAGTTGCAATTAGAATCTCCCTTCTTCCCACCCCTAGAGCACCTCTGAGGATGAAGAGATCAATTCTCTGTTTCTGGGAAATGACTTTTTCACAACTGGTCTTTAAAGGCAGGGCTAAAATTTATTAAATATTGTAATTATGAATCTTTAGACTCCTAAAAAAGCAAAGAGTTTTAGAAGATGTATGTTAGTCAACTTTCTAACATTCCCTTGAGAGAGGCACTTTCAAGTATTCCCCCACCCCCGCCTTTTGTAGGTAATGTGAGCCAAAGTACTGTAGTATTAAGCAACTTGCCCGGGATCTTTTAGTAAGCAAGTGATATTCCTGCATTAGATAATTGGTACTGCATTCCATTTTCCTTTGTCATGCTTTATTTTTATTTCAAAATGTTTTAAAAAGGGCCATAAGCATTTATTTTTCTAATTTTAACCTTATGGTGCGACGCCTCACAGTAAGATTAAGTAATGTTTTTCATACATTCTTTTACCTGTTTTTTTCATCTTTCCTCTTCCTGAGTACTTCTCTGTTGCTATGACTCCATCCTTTGTCATGATTTAGTGTCATATGAGGCTTAGAACATTGGGTTTCAGAGTTAGGCACAGGCTTGAGTCTCAGCTGTCACTTAACCAGCTGGGAGATGTTCAGCAAGTTAACTCTCCAAGCCCAGCTTTTGTGTGTGTGTGTGTTTTTTAATCTATAAAATGAGAATAATAGTGTTTATTTTACCAAATTGTTAGGGAGACAATTACTTAGGCTAACACATATAAGGACTTAGTGCTTCACTTATCGTAAGTGACTCAATAAGGATAGGGAGTGAATATTACTTTACTACTACTGTTATTCTGCTAGCTTAGAGAATCACAGTTTGCTGAATTGTATAAAAGCAAGATACTAAAGAGATGAACTTGAAAACAAAATACTCGTGTAGCCAAATGGAATGAATTAGTGTGGCAGAGGCTTAACATACTGCATCTTTGTGCTTGAATTAGACTCGGGAAGAGTTGCAAGATAATTTTATGAAGAAGATGCGTGAGCAGCAGAAAGTGGAGGGTGCTATAGAAACTGTTCTAGAAAAATAAATGCTCAAGATTAGGAAGATAGAACCATAAAACCAGATACCATGCCATGCATGAGAACCTGTGACTCTGGTTGTAGGTATTTGGTACAGACTTGCAGAACTACAGTAAACTGGTAACTTGTGGTCTGAAGAGTTTAAAATCCCTGGCTCAAGTGAATGTACTGCCACTTAGAGAAGTCTTTAAAAACTATATCAGAGAGGAGGTCACATCTAGAAAATTCCTGATCCTTAGGCATTCTGGACAAAGGAAAGAACAGACATTGGACCATATCCATTCAGATATTTCATTCATATTTATTGCAATTACTATATGCAATTACGTTGGATGCCGTGGAGAATTTTGAAGAGTAGTCTTTGCCTCCTATTATTTACCACTCTGAAATATAAAATAAAACAAACATGGGACTAAAATGAAAGAGAATATATATCTCTATAAGATAAATAATAAAGTAATGTGGGCATTCAGAGGAGGGATGGAATTTCTCAGTTGAGACTGAGGGAAGATTTCAGGGAGGGGAGACAGGATTTTCCCTAGACTTAGGGTTAGGAGATTTCCCATGGATGGAGACGTGAGAGGGGAGTAGATAGTCTAGGCAGAGGAAGGGACTTTTGCAAAGCATGGAAATGGGACGTTTCAGAGCTTAGATGTAAAGGTGGAAAGGACTCGAGTCAGGTAGATCATAGGATGAAAACAAGGGACTGTGGGAGATAGGGCCAAGGGGAATGCTGTGGGTGGGGATGGGAGTGGAGACAGAGCAGAGAGAGCCTTGCTGGGGTCAGGAAGAGGACAGAAAATGCTAACAGAATGGAAGTGAAATCTGGAATAAAAGTGATCTGAGTGACAAAGATGGGAAGGTTTGTGACAGCATTCAAGAGGAACAAGACAGGAGGAAAACGTAGAAGGAAGGCAAGTTCAAAATGTGACCAGTTGAGGGGGGCGGTAATTGGAGGGAGAGATGGACCATGAGAGACTATGGACTCTGAGAAACAAACAGGGTTTTGGAGGGGGTGGGGATTGGTAGCCCGGTGATGGGTATTAAGGAGGGCACATACTGCATGGAGCACTGGGTGTTATACTAAAACAATGGATCGTGGATCACCACATCAAAAACCAATGATGTATGGTGACTAACATAACATAATAAAATAAAAAAAAAAAAATGTGACCAGTTGAGAAATGGGTAGATATAAAATTAGAATAGTATGAAGAACTTCCATGTAGGCAGAAATTTGAAGTACAGTAAGAAAAGCCATGCCTTTTGTAACTCATGCATTTCCCATTGAAGAAAATGTGGGCCAGTAGAGAGGTTCCCAGAGTTTCCTGCTGGCTCCGACGCAGAGGGATAGTGATGCTGCTACCACTCCTGGGAATGAGTGTAATAATAACTCAAACTGGCAATTCACTGTGTGCCGTATTCTAGGCTGTTCACATGCATTAACTCATTTCATCCTCACAGAGGTATATGCAGATATACCCCATATGATAGATCTATCTACCCCATTTGATAGGTAAGGAAACTGGCTTTCCCTAGAGAGATGAAATAACTTGTCCATGGTCACACTGTGAGAGGCAGAGAATGAGTTTGAACCCGGGGAGTCCATGCCCTCATCCTCTCTATTGTCCTCTTTGCTATATTGTTTGATTTTAGAGTCCTGATGGCTGTGAAGCATTAGATTGAAGTCCTACCACACTAAAGGAGATGGTGCCGTAGAAATGACTAAACCTCAACTCTTTTTATAGCAAGGAGAATTCTGAAGCCTGGCCAGGTCACACACTTGCAGCCTTGGAACTGGTCTGCAGGCCTCTGACTTAACTGCTTGTCCACTGCCTCTCCCAGAAAAGGTTGTCGCAGTTGTCAGAGATAGCACATTGGAATTTTCCCAGCCCTCATGATAATGTGCCATAAATCTGGCATGGTTCTTGTTCTTCCAAGGAGTAAGAGACTTGAGACCACAAGTCCTATAACATCACCACGTGCACTTTATTTTCTTCGGAGTGTTAGAACTTTGCTAAAGACCAGATTTTCATGTCCAGGATCAGATTGGATGACGTCCAACTGAGGGAGTACTTCAGACAGTTAAACTGCCAGTCTGGGTTCTACCAAGTCATCTAGGAAGTCATCTGCATCCTGGAAGTTGCTTTTTTGGATGCTTTTTTGAGAGATGAAAGCAGCTTTCAGCATAAGGTCCCAGGAGATGAGATACTTGTTTGGGAAGGAGGCTCAGTAGTTGTGATCCCAAATTTGGAGTCTATATATTGTCTCTTTATAATAGACCCTTCTGGGAGCAGCCTAATCCATGGATATTGACTGTGCTAATGTTCCCTGTGTGGATTTCTTTTCTAGTAGGACTTTAGACACTAGTCTAAATAGGGATTTCAATGAAACGCGACATGGTCATTCCTCAAATTACCTACTGTCTCTGGATACCATAGACAGTTGCTATGAGAGGAACTAATGGAACTAATGGCCATTTTCTGTCTGTCTCTTAAATTTTTCCAGTACAGTTAGATATAAAAGTAATTTCTTTAAGTAATATTCTAGTGCTGATAAAAGGTACTGGGTTGAGCTAATGTTGATAACCTTTATATACATTGACTTGAAAAGCATGAATTCACCACATTGTAGAATGGAGAGCTTTTACAGCCTATACTAAGGTCAGAACTCGGTGATAAGATACCAATGTCAATGTACATTGCATTTTTCCTTGGTAATACCTTGGGTGGTTCAAACAAGTAATGACGATTGAAGTCTTATTCTGGAAACAAGTTTAATAACAGTGAAAGTTTCCCCTCAAACTCTGGCCTCTGTTTGAATTGTTCTGACCTTAACGGGCATCACTTAGGAGAAATACAGTCTCCTCCTTTTGTTCCTTTCCTTGGCCTTTCTGCTGAGATCCTCTTCCATAGGACCTGTTGTCTGAGTACTAACAGCAAAAATGACTTCTCCTACATGCCCACTGCTTATTACTGGATGACCCATGGTTTGCTTTACTTATATAATGCCAACATGATGATAATAATACTTGCTTTTAAAAAATCCACATTTGATACAGCTATTTCCACTCAGATGAATTACTTCTAGAGGAAAATAGAAGGGGAAAGTGATTCCATTATCCTCTTTGCTTGTGTTAATTAGCACTACTTTGCGAGGGGGAGGGAAACTGTCTTGGGGCCCTGGATCTAAGAAGATGAAAGCCATGTTATTGCATTTTGTAATTAGCACTAGAGCAAGTGGCTGTTTGTGGTATTCTAGGGTGGTCATAGATTGGAAGTCTTTAGAAGGAGTGAAGATGAAGTGACTGTTTCACCGCAGTTTGTCATAGGGCACCTGTCAGGCTAGAGAGAGTGGACAGGGATAGTAAGGCTCGAGTCCGTCAACTCACACCATATGTTCCTTGTCTCTCCCTGAGATGGCTGTTGGGAAGAGTTGGAGAAAAAACTAAACAGGTTTTCTTTTGCAGCTGCAGCTGTGATCCTCGCTGTCTGTCGGCATTGAAGGGACCTGATGTTTTACGTTATTGGTATGTTATGGAAAGAGCTGTCTCTATTATCTTCTTGTTAGGGTTGCTACATCCGTTTTGTCTCCCTGTCTATCCCTTTCCTCTTGAAAATAGACTTAGAAATATTTCTACTCATGCCAGAATGTACCTTCACAGAGCTGACAGTGGAGTTCATTCATTTGGGAAATATTTATTGAGTAATTCTGGTCCGTGCCAGGCAGTGTTTCCTGCCGAGTCAAAGTCGAATAAGGCAAAAATCTGCCTTCAAGAAGTTCATAACATGAATGGGGAGATGGTCAAGGGGGAGAAGAGCTATAATAGGTGAATAGGCAGGAGTCTGAGGGAGCCCGGAAGGGGGAACCCCTAATGCAGGTGAGGATCGGGGAAGGCTTTTGCCAAGTGGACAAGAGAAGGGAAGACTTTCAAATGGAGGGAATAGAATTCACATTCTTTTTAGGACTCTTGTGAGGGCCTAGCCCACGCAGGAAAGGAGGGGATGGGCATTCTGTGTGGCCCATGGTATAGAACCAGGGTCAGCAGACTTTTTCCGTAAAGGGCCAAAGAGTAAATATTTTGGCTTCCCAGGCCATACAGGCTCTGTCACAATTACTGAATTCTGCCAGTTTAGGGCAAAAGCAGCCCTAGACAATATGTAAATGAATAGATGAGGCAGGGTTCTAATAGAACTTTATTTGCAAAAATAGGCAGCGGATGGGATTTGGCCTGTAATTTCTGACCCCTGGTATAGAAGTTCCTCTCTTTGGGGCATCTGGGTGGCTCAGTCAGTTAAGCATCTGACTCTTGGTTTCGGCTCAGGTCATGATCTCAGGGTCGTGGGATCAAGCCCTGGGTCGGGCTCTGCGCTCAGTACAGCATCTGCTTGAGATTCTCTCTCCCTCTCCCTCGCCACTCCCCCTGCTTGCGCATGCTTTCTAAATAAATAA